GGATCGCCGGCTGGCTTTTACTCACCTGGAGGCCAGGGTTGTCTAAGACTTCCATCTGGATGTCTTGGCTGGAGCTGTAAGGTGTGCGTGACATGCCGCCGTCCTGCACCATGGAGATGCCCGTGCCGTCGTCGGCTGTGCGCTCAAGCCGGACTCATGGTAAAAGCTAGGGGGTAGAAGTGGTGGTGGCGGCAGCAGGCGGGGAGGGAGGGAAGGAGGGGGCTTCTGGCTTGCTTCTGGCTTGCTGAGAAAGCCAACAAGTCACCCCCGCCACCAACCACAACCTCCTCCTCCTCCTCTTTCCTTAAACCCGTAGCCTCGGCATGCCCCCCACCCTCCTAGCAGACACCCGAGAAGCCCGCGGCAGGCACCCTGTTACGCGCGCGCCTCCGCCAGCAGCCGCGCCGTGATGGAGGCGCCCCGCGTTCCAATCACAGGGCACGGCAAACGCGCGGCTTCTTCCTGGCAACAACTGGCACGGGCTGGTCAAGGGCTCCTGCGTCCCAGCTCCCCAGGGGAAGGGAGAAGGGGGTGGGTGTGGTTTGAGCCCAAGTGGGGCTGAGCAGATGGCGGGGAGGCGAGGCGAGGCCGCGAGGGAGAGGGAGGGCGGGGAAGACGAAGATGGAAGCTTATCAGGTCCCTGCCCTGCCTTTCATCCAGGCACTCTCCACCCCCCCACCACCACCCCAAGGAGAGCCCCGTGGGATCCACCTGCTGCTGTCAGGGCGGAAGGCAAAGGGGCGGGGCGGGGCGGGGGGGGGAAAGGAAAGTCTTGTCCTGCTTCCCACCCAGCCGCGTTTATTTATTTATCTATCTTACTCAATTTTTATCTTAGCCAAACGGACCCGCTCCTGGCCCGAGCAGCCCCCGTTCAATCGGAGGCACGCGCGACCATCTTGCTTCCAACCAAATCGTGGCTTCCCCTCCTCTCTTAGGCGCCCTCCCGTGAGAGCCACACAGGAGGGAGGCGTCGTGCCAAAGAACCCAGAGGGTGTCGACCGGCGAATCGCTTCGGTGCCTTATTCCTTTAGCCCCTCGAACCGGTCTGTTCAGGCTTCCTGGTGAGGAAGGTTAAGGGCGGTAGAAAGATGGGGTTTGGTTCCACAGACATGGGGTAGTTAGGGCGAGGAATGCTAATGTGTACCGCTGCTTACACGGAAAGGGCGGTGTGGATCTTATGGCTCCATCAACAGAAGCAAAAGGGTGATGTTCTGAGGTAAAATGCCCTCAAGTCTGCAAGGACCAGCTAGAGTTTGCTGGGAGATGCACGGAGGGAAGCAAAAGCCTGCTCATTTCTTTTATTGGCCTTGCTTTACTAGCATGTCAAGGTGGAAGTGCACTCTTAAGTAATTTCCCTTGGTTCCATGCGCAAACTCTTTTCTTCTTTGTTATTTCTTCTCTGTCTTTTTCTGAGATGGTCGATATTGCTCTGGCTAGGAATTCACTGTATCCAGTCTAGAACTGGGGAGACCTGGGTTTGAGCCCACACTTGGCCATGGAAACTCAATGGGTTGATTGGGGTGGCACTGGGAAAACCACTCCTTAAAACTCTTGCTCTCTCTCTCTCTCTCTCTCTCTCTCTCTCTCTCTCTCTCTCTCTCTGTGTGTGTGTGTGCGTGTGTGTGTGTGTGTGTGTGTGTGTGAACTTATGACATCCCATGTTTATGGAGACACACACACACACTTTCCATGCTCCACCCCCTTAATTCATACAGGTCTTCAGATTTGCATAATTTATAGCAGGGGTTTCCAAATTCCAGTGGACCACATCTGGCCTTTTTATCTGGACCGGGAATAGGAAGAGGAGGGAAGGGAAACCCAAGCCTGACAGAAGTGATCCCCCACCCCCGCTATCTTTGCACTTGGATCCCCTTTCCCTCCTTTGGCCCTCAAAAATGTGTAAAATACATGATGTGGCCCTCATACTGTTGAAATCAGGAGCTAGTCTCCTGGAAAAGTCAAAGTTTTAATGCCAATAACCTTAACAGGAGAGAGAGTTCAAATGGTTGCTGTTTTATTTAGTTAAATAAAAGGCAGTCAGAATTCATGCTTCCAAGTGTAGGCAAAAACACCCGCGTCATGCACAGGAAAGACCAGGACTTTTATAACATTGGTTACACAAGGGAATGGGAGGAGAAATGGGTGGTTCGTGGTACAAGGAGATGGGAGGAGAAATGGAGAAATGGGTGGCTTATGGCCTACTGGCAGAAGGGATGGGATTACAAAGGAATCCAAACTTTATTGGAGTGGGAATCACAGAAGGGAGAGAATTTTACAACAGGGTGGGTCTATAGACAGCAATTATGGAAATACATGGTTACATTGTTGTATTGTTCTGACAGGAAAGCAATTTATTGTCTTGCAAAGAGGGACGTGGTGGCGCTGCAGGGGCTAAATCACAGAAGCCTCTGTGCTGCAAGGTCAAAAGACATGCAGTCGTAAGATCGAATCCACTTGACAGAGTGAGCCCCCCCCCCCCCCGTCGCTTGTCCCAGCTGCCGCCAACCTAGCAGTTCGAAAGCATGCAAAATGCGAGTAGATAAATAGGTACTACCACGGTGGGAAGGCAACGGCGTTCCGTGTCTAGTCGCACTGGCCACATGACCATGGAAGATTGTCTTCAGACAAATGCTAGCTCTATGGGTTGGAAACGGAGATGAGCACCGCCCCCTAGAGTCAGACACGACTGGACAAATTGCTTTTAAAGAGGTTATAAAATTGGGTGAAAAGGAAACTTCCAAGGCAATAGAAAATAATGTTTGTATAGGAAAAGGTATTGTGCAATGACTGTCCAGTTTTGGAGTTCTATTTGCATAGGATTGGTCTTATTATTCACCTGGGGGAAGAGAGACAAAACCCAGCTGTGCTGCGTCTTCGATCTAGATTGGAAAGCAAGGTCACCCACCCCGGGGAAGGAAACCCAGCCAGCCTTATCCCTTTACAGAGATTCTTTGGGGGAACAAAAAACATGTACATATAGGTACATAGCTGGCTGTGTTTTATCCTTCCAAACTGCAATCCGTGTGACCTGATCAAAGGTGTGCTCTTCCTCCATGTTTCATGTACTACTTTTGTGTACATGGTCTCTCTGATACTAAAAAGTTTGGAGACCTCTGGTCTACAGTCTCAAGCCCTTTATGTTCCAGCAACAGGGGCTCTTTAGAGAGTAATGCATTTTTTTCTGCTTCAAAAAATTGGAAAACTAGCCCTGTGATGTCTAGTGGGTCTTCTGTTTTTGCTTCCAAGTGGTACACTGCACTTCTGTCCCCAAGTTCGTACATGGTCTCTCTGATATTGAAAAGTTTGGAGACCTCTGGTCTACAGTCTCAAGCCCTTTATGTTCCAGCAACAGGGGCTCTTTAGAGAGTAATGCATTTTTTTCTGCTTCAAAAAATTGGAAAACTAGCCCTGTGATGTCTAGTGGGTCTTCTGTTTTTGCTTCCAAGTGGTACACTGCACTTCTGTCCCCAAGTTTTGCTCCCGATAGCACAAATGTCCACATTAGAAACACCTTATTTTAAGACTCACTGTTCCATTTTACTAATCCCAGTTTTGCCTTTGTTCCATTTCAATCTGCATTAGATAAGATCTATTAAGATGTCTTAATTCTCAGTTATTGGCAATTAGGGTTGCATGCCTATTTAACAGGTTGAAGCTAAGCTCCATGGAATATAATTGGGCTTGCTTGAGTATACATGTATAGGATTGTGTTGTAAGGAGAAGTCATCCATTCAGCTCCTCAGTAAAAGAAGTAAAATAATTAACCTTGCCAAACTGCAGCTTAGAAGATCAAATTTAAGCACTTTGTAAAACAAAGCTGCTGTGTATGTTACATCTCAGCTCAGATTAAAGGTCCTTGTATAAAGATCTTGCAAGACAAGTCTGCTGTTTTCTTTGTTAACAGAAACCTGAATATCTGCAGACCTCAGCTCTGTGAATTTGAGCTCTAAACAGTATACATGCCTTTAGCTTTAGTGCCAGCAAACTAACGAAGAAGTTTATATTAGAATTTATGGAGTGCTTTGATAGCCTGTTTTTGGCTTTGGAATCCTTGAAGTAGCCTTCTTTGCTGGCAATGAAAGAAGATGAATTAGTGTTGAAGTTCCTCAAATAAATGTTTATTCCCTGGTTTTATCTGAGGCATCAATCACTCTCCAGGGAGGTTAGCTCATCCCTGTTGAATGCAAGTACATGTGTGCCTGTCCAACTTATTCTGTAATTGTCAGCAGCATGTTGTAGGAAAAAAGAAATTCAGCTTGTTTTGTTGCAGTGCTTTCAGAATTTCATTGCTCTCACTGGTTTCTTCACCAACAGCCAGGATTTCCCAAGGGAACAACATATGGAAAAAGAAGTTGTAACGGAAAAACAAGGAGGATGAAAACAAAAAAGGAAGTAAGGATGTTTTAGGTTAGAAAAAAAATTGTAGCAAGTGCATAATGGAAGACTGTAAAAATAAAAAGTTGCATGTTTTAAAAATGTACTTAAGCCACACACACAAATTTCCAGGCTAGCAGTCATGCTAGTCTGTTGTAGGAAAAACAACATTGTTGTGGCAAATTTAATTTTGCATAAGTCATTCTGCGGTGCTTATGACAGCTTCATCGATGCATCTGGTGAAGTGGGTCATTGCCCACAAAAGCTTACGTATGCCCAATAAAATTTGTTAGTCTAAACACTAATCCATATGGTAAACATGCTGTTCAAAAGCATGGGCCACATCTTGTTTTTGTAATTTGCAAAGTATTGTTACTACTGCAAAATGCTAACATGGATCTCTAGAGCATTACTAGCATGTAAGGTAAAGGTAAAGGTTCCCCTTGACACTTAGTCCAGTCATGTCCGACTCTAGGGGGCGGTGCTCATCTCCGTTTCCAAGCCGTAGAGCCAGTGTTTGTCCAAAGACAGTGTCCATGGTCACGTGGCCAGCGCGACTAGACACAGAACTCCTTTCCCTTCCACCAAGGTGGTACCTATTTATCTGCTCGCATTTACATGCTTTTGAACTGCTAGGTTGGCAGGAGCTGGGACAAGTGACGGGAGCTCACTCTGTCAAGTGGATTCGATTTTACGGCTGCTGGTCTTCTGACCCTGCAGTACAGAGGCTTCTGCAGTTTAACCCGCAGCATGTAGCAGGATATTAAAAAAGTAATAAGAACAGAAATGAAAAGGAACCCCTAGTGTCCCTGAATATAATCCCATTAGATATATCAATTGCCATGTGATTCAAACCAATGGTGGGAAACATTTTGCCCTACAGATATTCTGAACTACAATCCTGGCTATGCTGAGTGGGTCTGACAGACATTGTAGGACAAAGCATCTGGAAGACCAAAGGTCCTCATTCTTGTTTAAACCTCACATGCCTGAAGTTATCCCCTTTGAAATCAGTATAGAAGGACTCCAATACTCAAAAAAGCACCTGACATCAGGTTCTCATCTTGAAGGATATACTGGATGCTGAAAGGAAATTAAATTGTTTATACAGTAAATTGTTTATACAGTAT